TCCTTTATAAGGCGCCTTTCAAGACGGCCTTTTTGATTTTCTGGTGCTTGAGGAGGTTTTGGTGTGTTCTATCGCCATTTCCTGTCCATATCGCCTGCCAGCGTCCGGAAAGGAATCGCCGTAGAATAGCCGCCTGGGCGGGCGTGGCCACCTCATTGCGGACGAGCTTGCCTCAGCATGCCGCAGATGGTGAGTGCGCCTCCTCCCTCCAGGACTCGAGTGACAGGCATCATTTTCCACCTTATAAGCTTTAGCAACATATAGAGACAGCTTCGTCGAAAGTGGCCCGCTTTTCTTGTCCGAGATTAATACACAGCCCATGTGTCCGAGCACTGGAGTGGCGTACTGAAGACCACAGCCCTGTATATCCTCATGTTTCGTGTTGAGAAGGGTATCACGGCAATTGGATGCTGAGTGTTGCAGCCTGTCAATGACCCGGCAGGGCAAAATTCGTTCGTCAGTTTTGATGGTGGATGAGAAAGTGGCTCCCAGGTGCGCGGAATTGTTCAAAACTCAGAGGTGAATTCTGTCAACAATTGCTATGGGTTTCTTACAGCCATCGGTTGTCGCCGACTAGCACATGATCACTGTCTCTTCCGTGCAAAAAAGCCATTCAAAGGTTGAGCAACCGGGGCCAAAGACTTCCATACTCTGCTACACGCCCGATTCAGTCGTGCTACTCAGCGCTCCGTCGTCCACGACTAACAGGCACTGAAATCTGCTCTTTTATTCCTTCGTGTTAGCCTCATTCTCTCTTCAAGAACTTAAACCAGTGGTACACGGTCGACGTCCTTGCTCGGAATGGTCGAATTTTCACATATGTAGGTTTGATTTTAGACAGCTTCCCATCTGTTTGACATCTGATTTCGAATTCAGACCGCCTGTAGCTGAAGGGCGGAGGACATGAACTAATGAGAGTTGGAGTAAGTGAGCCGACCTGTTTTATGCCATTTGCCCCCGCGAGAGCTTCCAAGACTAGCTACTTGCCTGTGACACGCTCAATGGTTTTGTAACGCAACAAGACTTTTCCTAATCCTTGTACATCGTTCCTTTCTTTGTTTGCAGGGAGAAAGTCAGCGAATGCTCTGGCCGGCCTGACCGGAACCAACATGGACGAACCGGAAGCTTTGAGCGAGTCGGAGGAAGACCGCGGTTTATTTGAATTTGTGAGAGGACAATAATTGCATTTCGGAAGCCTCGCCTTCTTTTCCGTCGTTGTTCGTTTGAATGTCGATCCCTGGTGCTCGCTGTTGTCATTATTTTCGCCTGATTTACAATTCCATCTTAGAATCTAGTATGACCTCGGACAATAACAAGCGCTGCAGTATCGTCTTGCAGTTGTCTAACCATCTGCAGGAGTCTTTTCAGACATCCGAATTTTAATCGTACTTTTCCAGGTTACCACCATGGTTTAACACAATAGAGGCCTCTGTTCGATCTACAAAGTTGGTGCAGAGTCTAGTTCACAGCTCAGGATGTTTTTCGCACTTGGCTGGCCGCGAGGAACATGTGCGTGGTTTCGCAGTGCTTTTGTAGGCTGCCTTGTGTTTCCGAAAGGAACTCACGCTCCGAGTATGCATTCAGAAGGTTAGGAAGAACGCGGGAGGGGGAGGGGGTCGGGTTGCGTGGGAATTTTCACAAACCCGATGATTTGCCTTTCGCCTGTAGACAAAGAGTGTGGGCATTGGGATGTACCGTCTTTCAGCCTTTCAGCTTTATGTCCCCGTCTATGATCACTGCCGGGTTTAACGATCGACACATCTACGTGAGCGCCAAACAGAAGAGGAAGGTAAAGTTAGGACAAAAGTCTCACTGTTGCACACCAACATACAAGTTGCTCGTGATCCTGTTCTTCCAACCTAATGGCGTTTTCGAATGAAATTTTTGATATTTGCTGTCCTCTTGATACTGTAATGGTACGACCGGCCAGAATTTCTTTCTCTATCTGAAATTCTTTAGACGAAAAAAGAACTTCTTTACAAGCTAGGCTTACGTGACAGCCTTAAGGATTTTACCGTCTTAATAAAAACAGAGATTGACAGGCTAAATAACCTGTTTGTTAGTCAGCTTTTTACCTCTTATTCCTCCCCCTTTTCCTCCTTCCTCTGCTGAAATTTGGAAGAATCTTAAACTTCTCACTGGCCATCGTAACACACTGGTACATGTGGATGCTGATTTACTCCTTAAATGAAAATTTTGTCTTTAGTCACAATGACTCGCATCTTCCTTCAGATGACATTCCTCTATCACCATGTGCCTTCCAACCGGTGTCTGTGGCAACAATAGAGAAACACCTTAAAAATTTCCGTGGATCAACAGCTGCTGGACCGGATGCTGTCTCGCCTTTTCTTTTTAAATCTTGTTGTTCCCAGATAGTCCCTATTTTAACGCACCTTATTAAAGTGTCTTTCATGGAGTCCAAGATTCTCAACGCCTGGCGTACAGTGAGAATCACTCCCATCCCTGTAAACCCGCTAATTTTGGTCCTAAAGCTTTTCGTCCTATTTCCTGCTCTTCCGCACTACTAAAGCTTGCTGAAAGAGTCGCCCTAAATATTATAAAGCCTTTTTCTTCTAGGTTTTCCGACCGTTTACAATTTTCATACAAAGCCAAACGCAGTACTTTAGATGCTGTTGCTCTTGTGGTCCACTCTGCTCTAAAATAACTGGACAAGGGTTGCCGCGAGTACGCATGCGCTTTTCTCGACTACTCCCCCGCCTTCAATACCGTCTCGCGCCGTCTCCTCCCCGCCAAAACATCTGCGTGCGGCTCTCCAGGCTGGGTCGTCTCTTGGCTTAGCGATTATTTTACTTCCCGCACTGAATTTGCCCAATCTGGCAAGCGGAAATCTATGGTCTCTCCCAATGACTGCGGAGTTCTTCAAGGTTCCGTTCTATCCCCCCACCTTTTCTCCCTCCACACCGATGATCTAAGATCCCCTAACGACTGTCTTTTGGTTAAATTTGCTGATGATGTGGTTGTTAGAAACCCTCTCAAAAATCAGACATAACTCCAGCCTCTAAATGGTGACCTTAACCATGTCCTAGTAAGGTCAGAGGAAAATGGTCTCCTAAATGAACAACCAAAAACCAGTTCAGTATATTTTCCGACTGCGGCCCTCTCCTAGTCCTGAATCCTCTGACATCTCTCCTAACGAGGTATCCTCTTTCAGGTATCTTGGCACTACTTAATCCTCAAATTTTTCATTTCCCCTCCATACTGAGTCCGTATTTAGTAAAGTTCGTAAACTTCTTTATTGCATTCGTCTGGTGATTCATCGATGCCTGCATTCTTTCTCTTATCCTATACTGCTCTCCTGTCATTTTCCCTGCTTTGCTCAGAAAGGATCTTTTAATTTTAACACGAGTCCTCCGAATGCTCTCTTCTGCCGCAGGTGTCTCTTATCGTTTTTAGTCTATATTATCCTGTAACGATATTTCAGTATGGTCAAGAAATTTGCTGGCCAGATTATAGATGGCGTTGCCCATCACTTGCATTCACGTCTTATTTCTGCGAAGTATTACCGTCCGGCGCGCCGCGGCTTCCGACTAATGTCCTGTCGCACACCGGCTTTTCGAGCTTCTGTATTGGCGCGCTATTTTACGCGTGAAGAAACAGAAATACAGAGGCTTAGACTTGAACTGTCCCCATAACAATCGTTCCTATTGTGTTAAACTTTTTGACTCTGGAATAATCTATCAACTTAGTTACTGCCCATAGTGCATGGATCCAATTTTTGCTGGAAATTTTGAATTTATGATTTAAAAATAAACCGAATTCCTCTCTCTCTCTCTCTCTCTAAGGAGATGAGCGTCAGGGGCGAAAGGTCAGTCTTGCAGCATATATCCTTCGTTCTACAACCTCCGAAACTGCAAATTCAGTCTGTGCAGAAGTTCGGGGTCACTATGTTTGCCTCGTTTAATTTCCGAGGAAATTAATGCGCAAACGTGCAGTAAATCCTTTGGAACAGACCTTTTCAGGCTCGGTATGATATCCGCATAATCGTATAGCCTCAGTTTGGGTTCCTACCCACGACGTCCCGATATCATGAGTACCGACTGTGAAAACGTTCCGAGAGATATTACTCTTTTATAGGCATCAGAAGCCGTCCACTCAACTTAAGATGACAGCCACTAAGCCTCTTCGTCTGTCATTCAGCTCAATAAAGCTGGCCCTCGCTGTATTTACAGGCAGACCAAAGTTTGCAGACTCATCCACGCGTAAAGTTACATTTCGAGGTCAACATGGCCCGGTGAAAGCCTTGTAATACCATCAGAATGGCTGAGATCGGTCAGACGGCGTTCTGCCACTAATTTTGCAGGTTCAAACCACGTAGGCCTCCACTGAAGATGTCGTCAATGCCGAAGCCAAAAAGGACGTGTAAAGTGGCCGAAAACCGCTTCCAGTCTCGCACTTTCGGGAGCGTAGAGTGGTGGAGCGGCGGTTCGACTTGATTAAGGCCACAGGGACACCGGACTGACTGAATTGAAACAAAACAGGGAACTCTCGGTTGCTGGTAGCCACTGCAAAGTCTAAGGGTGGTTCGTGGTGCAAATGTTTGGTCAGAACACCAATGTCCAGCACGTGACCTGGACTGCGTGTGTTCCAGCGTTTGGGCAACTGCCAGTTAAATGAAATTGTCAGGTTGTCGTCATCGAGTCCGGCATGGTAAGGGGGCTCCTAACCTAAACTACGCAGGCACAGTGTTCCCTTAAAAACTCCAAAGGCCGCCCCAAGAATAAAAAGAGCCAAAACTCTCAGATTTCAGTGGTTTGCGATAGCTGGCACAGGTCTCAGGCTTTGATTCACAAACAGGAGCTTTAAAGGTGTCCAGTCCTGTAAAAGGTGACAAGGGAGCAACTAGAGAGAAGGGTACAAGTCTTCACGTGCTGCACGCCCCGAAAACGGATGGTCAAGGCAGGGCGTGTACAGTTTTGACTAATCCGGTTTTGATAACTGAGGCATTTTGCGACGATGAGTGGCGGAGTTCGGGAGAAAAATTAGCCCAAGGACACTGAATTGCAGTTCTCATCCTGACAAGCACTCGAATCTGAAAGGCAAGAAAAGAGTTGTGGACAGTAAGCGGTCAGATGATAGAGCAAACACAGCGAAACATCAAACGCAGTTTCACTCGCAGTCACCACCTTAAGGCCTGGAGCCTCCACTCAAAGTTAATGTGAGACTGGGGAGACGGCTAACCCTATTAATATTTCCCCGATTTTGGACGGTCTATAATGCGCGTTAACCGAACCGTCCTGGTGTGTTATACACAGGTCGGCCGGTCAAATCAGTTCTTGAAAGAGTTAGTATCAAAAAACGTAGCGCCACTTCAATCCAACCAATGTATTGTCACTTGCAGGCGCGCCAACCTGTTTGTTTCGGAACTCCAAATACTGTTGCCAAGACCGGAAACTATGTCCCATTCAGGTGGATTATCAGTGCGGGGATTCACCGACGGCTTTAGTGCCTTCTGAATGAGGTTCCGCATACTGAACTCGTCTCGGGCGTCTTACAATCAACCCAAAAACAGTTGACGGAAAGATGAAAGTATTGCTATTGGTAAAATGACGCGACACACCTGTCATGGATTCACGGACTACATTGGAAGAATTTGCACTGGTGATTGCAGATGGCAGCGCTGATTGGTTTTCCATGAAGAGACGATTGATGCGGAGCAACAGACAGCGAAACAAACGCTCCGCCTCTTGTCGTGTATCCAGCCGAACAACGAATGAGTTTACACGAGGCAATGATGACTGCTCCAGCGGGCCCTCCGCATTACCGGCAGCTGCGGATAGATCTGATGCGGTTGTTGTCGGTGCAGTGACAAAAAGACGCAAACTGCGCTCGTCAGAGAAGCAGAATGCCAGGCGAAAACCAACAGTCACCGTGAGCAATGAGGCGGCAGATGTGTCAGCAGAGTCAGTGGAGGGTCTGATTTCAAACACCGACTGATTACCGTTGGCGTAGTCTGTGATGCTCACACAGGCGGAAACGGTCGAGCTCCCAGGGTCGTCACAAACGAGGGCCAAACATTTCAGGTTTAATACCGGGATACTACTACCGGCAGATGGCGTCCCGTTGATGAGCGACTTGCCGGGGGACGCCTGAACAGTCTTGGGATCGGGGTTGGGAGACTGGGAACGGGTGGGAATAGTTTCATTGCGTTGCGCACCAACGGTAATAGCAACCTCGCCAGCAAGTTTGGTCGTGGCAGTGGTGGGAGCTGTTGAAGAGGGCAAGTGCGGGGGAGCGTCACCAGGGTCCCCCGAGAGACGCTGTCGTTTTATTTGAGTGGAAGCACTTTCCTGCTTGCGTGAAAGCAGAGCCTCGTACAACCTGGAGGCATTCTGAGCAGCCGGGAAGCGCAGCAGGTAAGTGCGTATAGATGTCCCATCGACGTCCAAGGCACCCAGTCGGACCCCCTTTGCTTCGGCTGTGGATAGTGGCATTTCAGGCCATATTCGAGTGTTAACAAGGACACGACGTGTCGACTGTAGACGCAGGATAAACCGGGAGCTGGTGACAGACTTTCGGTCATCAGAAAGTTCATCATTAAGATGGAGGTAGCTCTGGCCCAGACTCGTCCACTGCCGGGATTCGGTATTAAAGACGTAGGCACTGCAGGAGAGCTGAAGGACAATGCGTTCACCCTCCTCACCGGTCATACTGGGAGCTTCGATGAGCTTTATCTGAGCAAGGTTGCGCTTGCGTGCCAATTCACTAGCTGATTCCTTCAATTCAACGGGATGATTAGAGGCTATGGCTGCAGCAGTGGTCGAGTTGTTCGAAGCAACGGCCTTGGCAAGAACGGTAAACACAGAAGAGGACTGTATTTGAGGATTTGGAGACTCCGTTTCCTTATCAGCGGGGGTTTCTGAGGCTGAGCTAGCGGTTTGCCAGAGAGTGGATGAGCTGGATGAACTCTGAGCAGCATTAACCACACGTGAAAGCATATTTTGCCCGAAAATATACTCGGAGTTGGAAGGTGCAACCGAGATGGGAGGAGCAGTCGATGGAAAAACCGGAGGGGGGAGACTGGGCTTTGTGGCAGGTGGCGACTGTGCCTTAGAGACAGGAGGCGGCGGTTTGGAAGAAAAATTGTCCACTGTAGTGGTTACTTTGCCTGACAGCACTGAGGGTCGGAGTATTGATGATCCGAAGATATTTGACCCATGGTTTGCGGTAGTAGACGGAGCCACTGCAGAAACCCGGAATGGTCTAACTGGGGATGTTGACGACTTCATGAAGCTAGATAGAAAAAAACTGACGTAGTTTCTTACATACAAGATGAGATAACGAAAGACGTTTCTGGGGAAGAAGACCACCTTGGGAGGTATTCAGGTGCAGATAGATGGTTTGATAATGGATAACTGGGACAGCTGCAGCTAGTTTCAGACCGGTAGTAGATAAAGATGGTGAAAATGGCACCCGTATACACGGTGACAAGTTGGACAACGAAGCCAAGATCTTCCGTTAACTCTTACACAATAGTTTAGGGTTTACTTGTCACATATTTACTGCAGTCGAAAAACAGATTGCACGAATGGATCCATGAGCGCCAGAGTCAAAATGCATTAGAAGCTTTGAAACTTCCGAATATTATATTCCTTAATCGATTATCCATAACTTTCGGTATTGCATGCACAGTGCCAATAAATCGAAACTAAGAGCAAAGAGGCATCAAGATGAGTTATGCATGGCGAATTTACTTACAGGAAAAAGAACACGTGGATGAACATGCTAGCTTGCCTTTTTTTCACCCAAGTCCTAATTACACGTCCTCTTAGATCAGACTTTTACAGCATTTTGAGAAAAAACACGTTGATTAACGCAGAACAGCTAAGAATTGAAACAAAGTACTGCGAACAACCGCCGGTTAGCATTCAACACAAAGGCGGTTGTACAAGTCTTCAGTCATCTTATTAAAGATAAACAATAAGTGTAACCGTTCATACCGATTTCTGATATTGCTGCAGAAACAGTGACGAGTGACCAGCAGGCAAGCTGGGTGAACAATTATCGCGTCATCTAAGAAAACAGAAAGGTAATGGGCAAAATATTCGGTCTGTCCAAGAAGTTTGCTGAAAACTGTTCGCTGAGCAGTTGATTGTTTATTTTTTGCAAGGAGACGCTTTTCGGACTTTGGATGTTCGAAATAAAAATAAGTTGGCCCCTGGAATTGTTGTATTATGAGCACTGAATAAACTCGCAGAGGACGCAATTAAATATGATTTTTGTCTCCACTTGCACGGCTAGCGACTACAGTTCAACAGACTGCCTCGGTGCCTTGACGGACCTACTCCAGCAAGGCAGGCCCCAACAGTGCCCTGATGGCCCATGATTTTGGCGTCGTCATAGACGATGTATAGGAGCATCGTCAGAAGTGGTGCTCATAAAGCTAGTGAAAATTCCACTTTTTGTTAACGTCCATCAGTTCCTTTTGTCCTCAGAACCATTCTGACAGTTGTATCGAAATCGCAGCGTCGGATAATCACTCGTGGATGATTTTGCCGTCCTTATTTAGATAATGCTTTACACATCCTCCAAATTACTATGTGTAAACCTACTCTATAAACCAACGACACTCGTCCATTTAGTACCTTTTCAACCTAAGGTATATGCGATACCTCGGGCCACTTTTTTGGACTGACACCGTTCACACTGTTCCTTGGAGTCTGACTCGTCTGTGGGTTCCCGAAGTTATGGTCAGTTAAGTGGCCCCACATTGGCAACAGCTTCGAACAGCAAGCTAGGCCAGGTAGCAGTGGAGAGTATGCCGCCTCACCCGCTGTATAGTCCGGTTGGGTCAGGAAGGAAAAATCAGCCATTTTGCGGCCTGCCACTGCCTTTGGTCCCCTAACCAGCCCATTTAACGGGGTTTTTCCACTGAGTCATAAATAGCTGTTAATAGTTAGGAATATGTGTATCAAATTCTCCTTACTACAAACCGATTCGGGTAGAGATCGTCTTTACTACCAAATCACCTCCAACATCAACTATTTCCTCTCAACTACCAAAATCCGTTGGAGAGGCATGCCCAATTCCACAGGTGGTCCAGGCTGGTCGAGTCGTTTTCTCACCATACATAGACGTAAGCCGTACTGGGATACAACGCTCGCTTGGGGTGCCTAAGTGGTCATATTAGGGGATACGCTAAGGAAGATAGTACCGTCCTAGAAACGCTGGTTCAAGTCGTCACACAGGCGACCGCAGCTGCTGGACGTAACGCGCAATTGAGACCCACCCACTACAAACAATACCTATCCCCTTTTGTAGGCGTCCGGATTGAAGTTGGGCATTCTGACAGTTCGGAATGTTTATTCTCTTTTATGCCTGAGGTACGTTTACCGATCGGGTTGCGGGACATACTCGTCCCGTTGTGCCTTGGGACTCAATGTACAGCCCTTGTGGGCAGTCGCATAACGACTCCTTTGGATACGCATGTGGCCAACCGACCAAAAGGGAAGACAATTCTGGTGGCCGGCGATTCGGTCCGATACAACGTAGGCAATTGCATGACGGCAAAATGGCACGTCACGGACAAGGGACCAACCGCTGAAGCCTTTTCAGTTAAAAAATGAGGTGAGGCAGGGTTGTGAATTCGCCCCTAACCCTCAGCAGTCTCATATTCTCTGCAAGTTACAAATATCTAGAATGAGAAGAGTCCGGAAAATTGGCATCAAATATCAAACTAATAGAAACAAATTTGCAACTTGCTCAGTGCACGTCTTCACACGGATCACCAAAAATAGTATAACTGATTTCTTTGACCCAAACTCGAACGAACATGCAACAAAGTCTGCATTTATTCTCATCGGGAATTCCAACTTTGAATTAACCAACTGCGCGGGAAATGTCAGCAGGCGTCAACCGGCACATACAGAAAAATACATAAAACCATCGAAAGCCGCTAATTACGGTCGCCTTACGACTGAGAACTAATTATTATACATCGTGAGCCAGCCCTCGAGAAGCTCCGAAAATTGAGATGCGATTACTGCTTGGATATCTAAATTCGTTCAAGCCTTCGGCAGACCTCACATCTTAGTGTGAAATTGTTGTGGCATACTCTTCCAGAAGAAGCTGAAGATATACAGGTGTCATCTTGACGGCTCCTTTGCGGCACGAAGGTCTGGATAATCTATCAAACCAAGCTGAAACGCATCTCTGGCACCCGTGCCCTGGAATCAGCCGATATGTCCAGCATCTTTATAATTTGAAAGCATATTCGGCCTCCGTTGTGCGGCAACGCTGCAATGACGTCGGGTGAGCGTCTGCCGAAACCACGTCGTTACAGAGACCCAACGACGAGGACAGAAAGCGAGGTTACAAAGACTTCCCGGAAGACTTAGTCAGATGTACAGGAATTGAAAAAATGTATTGGTGCCCTTCGCCCAGGGTGCGCAGTAGTGGTGGACTGATTGAAGGGGTGATACAGGAATCTCCGGAGACGATGTAATAGAGGAAGTCAAAGGGTAGGTCTATAATGAGAAAACTAGATACTGAAAATCAATGGATGAGATTAGCCCATCCTGTGTGTCCATCTGATAATGCGAGACCAAAGTTCGCATTGGTCTTGTCAGACACCTTCATATCCATCACAGCGCCACTAACAACAGCTCAAAAATACGCAAATGAACACTCGAAAGGCATCAAAACCTACCCCATGTTGAACATACGTTCAAGGTCTGGATCACACTGGCTGAACGTCTCTAAGTCCATTTTCCCACATCTAATCGTACCTTTCGGATCAGTTGTGTGTTCGCTGCCGTGACCGCTTCTGCTTTTGAGCAAGGTGACCTCAGCCCATATGGTCTGTGACAGATATATCCCAATCCCTAATGCCGATTTTAAGTTAACATCTCGTCATTCACTCGTTGCTGCAAATTTATTGGTTCACGGGGCCCTGGGCCTTGCGTCGCTAATGGCGCAGATGACTGGGCGCACGATTATTGGCAAATCGATCGGACGACGCGCTTGCTTGCGCGCGAGCGCTCTGTCATGCCATTTCCTGTTCGCCCACGCTGCTACGCGCAGGCGGTTACTGCGCTAACGTCCACTGACGCTGCACCGATTCACCTTTTCCATAACCCTGTCTTATTATTATATCGTGGAATTTTTAATAAAATATGGAAAAAAAGCCTCAATAGACGTGCCGAGCATGCTCTTCGTGGACATTTTCAGGCAATTACAGAGAATACGAGGTAAATGTATCCGCCCGACTCAGCGTCATCGTCGTGGGATATCTAATCCTAAAGTCGCTCCAGCTACACGGAAACTTTCTCCACTGATGAAGAAGGCAGTTTGCTTTAAATGGCATGATACGGTAGGCTAGGTGAATCTACAAGGATTCAGTGTAATGACGATCATCTAGAGGCCTCTCAGGGGTCAGGCACCACCATGGAGGAGGATCTGCAGCCATGGGCAGTACGTTCTTACATTCCGCTAGTTCATCTGACCAGTCTTCTCAAAATTATGGGAAGGCTGTCCCCAGATCTGACCTCGGACGCGCGAACGTTGCTGGGTGGGCCAAGCAATGGGGCGACGGTGACGGCAATGGGCAGTGATGAGTACGTCCATTTAGGACTTCTAAAACAGTTAGCTGACCAGTTACGTGTCTCTTCCATGCATATAACAGGCGATGAGGTAGTTGCATATTTAGCTATTGAGGGGCTACCTGTACATAAGAAAAGCAAGCGTAAATTTTGGCCTATCTTAGGCTCAGTAAAAGAATCATTTATTAATGAAATATTCGTCGTAGGTACTTGTTGCGGCTTCGGTAAGCCCTCGGATGTGCAGTCGTTTTGCGAACCGCTGACCGGGGAGTTGTTATCTGGGTAGGTCGGGTCTGCGTGTCGATGATATTGACCGAACACTGCACTTCAAATTGAGCGCTGTATTTTCTGATGCCCCAGCCAGGGCCTTTATAAAGCAAATTAAAAACGTCACTGCGTGTTATGGCTGCGAAAGATGCTATGCAGGGGGACGAATACGTTGACAAAGTAGTGTATGACAGCGCATCTCGGCGTGCTAGGGCAGATGAGTATTTTTTTATTCATTGCCGATGACTGTCATCGCATTAGCGTGCCGCCACTGCTGGCATGCAATGTAGGAATGGTTAGCTCCTTCACTCTAGATCCCCTACATCTAGTATACCTAGGCATCATGAGGTTCCCGAACTTGTGGCTGAAAAGTCCACGGGAAAAGGCCTTCAGGATGTCAACGGCAGCAGTAAGCACAGTAAATGATACATTAAGAGCCCTGAATCCACACTTACTGTATCAATTTTCGCAGCGCGTCAGGTCTTTTGATGATTTGGACACATGGAAGGGATCGGAGTTTCGTCAGTTCCTGCTTTACGCAGGCGTAATAGCCCTTAGAGATATTCTTCCTAGGAAGTAATGGAAACCTTTTCTGCCGTTGTTCACTGCTATACGTTGTCTCGTTCGCCCGCAGTCTTGCAAACAGTGGGTGACTTACAGTAGGAACTTGCTGAAGATGTTCGTTGGTAAAGCAGAAATGGTATGCCATCTTTACATCATTGTGCATATGCACAATAATGTAAAGATGGCACACCATAGCATTTAGTCGCCCAGGGCTAGACATTTGCTGGCCCGTTTGACTTGCGAGCTAGTGCAGGGCTAGTAACCTGACTGGCTAACAGTGCTCGATCTGTGCGAGGAAAGGAGCTTTTCTGCTACACCGGAGTGCATTTTGCACGTCAGGCCTGGGGGGTCCCCTTGCGCGTACGCACGCATACGGGGTGCACGCACGCACTTTGGCCGGAATTTAGGCGTCTGTCTGGCGGCTTAAATCGCCTCGTGTAACGCCCCTTGACACGAACAGAATTGTTTGAATGTCGTGACGCTTTTGGCGCGCGGAGATGGAGATGGCGTAACTGCGTGCCGGCGAAGACGGCCGGTGTCCCTTCCTCTCGCTACCGCCGACCCACCCCTCCCCCTCTCCCGCAACGAACCGCTGCTCTCGACTCTCTCACTCAACGTCGGCTCCCCCTCGGACCTTCCCTGCAGTTGCCCCCAGCGCTGCATCCCCACCGGCTGTTTAGCTAGTATCTCAGGGTCGTCTGTCCATCCAGACAGGTCACTTATTCGCTGTTCCTCGTTGCACATGTACATTAACATTTGTTATATACATTCTCCATATCATGTTCCATTACACTATATCCAAACTCGACGTACTCTCTTCTTCTGCGTGTGAACGAGTTTCGAGAGATGTTAACAGTTCTGTTCAGGTCTTCCTCTGCCAGGATCTCTTCTCGGCGTTTCCTTACTCCGGTGTGTGCTACCCTTGACGTCCTCGGCCGCTACACTCGGACTGCAACGCCCTCAACTCGCCCGAAAAGGCGCGTCAGCTTACTGTCCCCATGTAAAAAGTGTCCGCTGGGATAACTGAAAAAACCAGGCGATTGCAACACTAGCCCGCAATCGGGCGACCGGGTTAGCCGTGCGCGATTAGAATGCTATCAGCGATCAAGATCTACCGGACGATGTTGTGCGAGTAGGAGTAGGTGTGATGACCAACTAATTCCAATGGCGAAAACCAAACTTAGCAAGGATGGAAAAAGCAACATGTCAAAGGATAAATATTTTATAACGACTAACAGCGCTTACTTCGGCCAGCGACGCTCAAAATAACCTCACACAAACAATGGGGGAGGGGACACCGGTTATTGGTCGATGACAAATACGCGGGCACTGTGAATTGGTACTTGGCGCAGTAAAACAACCGCAAGCGTACGTGCACACCGCATATATTAAAATAACGTAACAGTTTCGTAATCACTCATAAAGGGACCTTGATGATAATTGAAAGGCGTTTTAACGTAGAATGTTAAAGACTAAATCAAGTGAGTGAAATAGGTTGGACGGAGGTGGTTTGAACTGTCCGGAATTAACTGGATGGAGTTCTCAGCCTACGTCAAACACGGCAAAGTGTTATTTTCAATTATCTTCAACAACTGTGCATATATAATCGACAAACCACACACCATCTCGAAGAAATAACGTATCAACCCATTTACCATTCGAGACGACTTAACGACCGAGAGAGTTCCGCAAAACGAGCCGACCACTCGAAATTTCTTTCCAAAGGGACTTGAATGCTAAAAAACGGCTACATGACCTTTCCGTTAGCTATTTATCCACACTCCGACGAATCGAAGAGGTCCATGATCGAGTAGGCAAAATTCAAACAAAGAGGATTGCAGCTGCAGAACGCCGTGTACTAGAGCTTCCCGATGAGCATGCCCAAATTTTTCAGGAACTATATATGATCAATAAAAGCCAAGACCGCAACTTATGATCGTCAGCTGAGAACAAGCAATAGGAACTGACAGTAAAACGGGGCATTACCACTATTTTTTCAATATATTCACTGGACGACAGCTGGGAATCGACACCAGTGTGGTTATTTTAAGCAATCCCTAATCTTTGTTTTAATACCTTTAGACAAATCAGCTCCAGTTAACACACACTAACTCATCAAGTCGGCATATTCTCCGGTTGCGTTGAGAATAGGGCGAGTAAGCCCATAGCAGCACAGTATGATCACAGTTCCCAACAGGCGTCAATGTTAGTCAAGTCTGTCGTCCAAACTATTTTTAGGCAATTGACTCCCCTGGTTCCCTCCAAATTCGCTGGTGTCTTTCCGTTGCGTGCCACAGGAAGGTCGAGGATGTGACCATCAGCTTGTACTTAAATGAGCTAGGCGCTCCGTAAATTGCCAGATTATTATGGTCTGTTGTAGATGTGTTGGATGTGTGCTCTTACAACTGCCGAAATTCCTGATTTCGTATATGCGATTATCCCACCAAACAGTCTATAATGATGGTTTCTGTTAAAAACGGACGTATTTCGTCGAATTAAGAGAATCTGCGAATCTGACTTTGAGTCATGCTTACGCTATGGCAGTAACGTTAAGGATTCTTTCTGAAACTAACACCTTGAATTCACAGATTTTCCAAAGAAGACCTCGCACATTCGTATGCAAAGGCCGTAATTTATATTCGTATATGAAGTGTTAGAGTTAGAGCCCAGAATGATCATATTTACGTACAACGGTTTAATATATTTACACCCGAAATAAAGTTCCAAACACTTAGAATGTGTTCGGGTCACAATGCAACATTTATAATAAGGAAACGCGTCTGTTCACTGTGGGTCAAACCGGTAAGATTGTGTATGACAAAGTGTTTTACAAAGCTGACACTAAGTAGTGATGTTGTAAAAGTCGGTTTTTGTCGAAGATTACGTGAACAAGTGTTCTTGATATACGAAGGGTGTCAGCCGACGCCATATCAATTGGCAGCCAGCTCCATGGTCGGCAAATCTGTTGGCTGAAGGACGATTTCCTACGGTCTAGTCGCGTGCGTCCGCTCTTGACACGTTCCCGGGATTTCCATTGTCTCGCTGGAAAAAAGTTCAGTTTAAACTAACCTATTTATGTGGATTTCTTCGGTTGACTTTTTGGAGAGGATCAACTTGATTTGCTCGGTGTTCTCCACCATAACTTTGAGAGGACGAGATGGTAGTGCTGCTGTCCTGTCCTCACTCCTTTTCCAATCCAGAATGCTTTCAAGACCTTTATTTGCACATTGGCCTGGAGTAATTGGTTTAGTACACCATGAAAGGAGGCAAGACCCTCCGAAGTACGGTCTGCGGATCTGACTGCATCCGATTCAGACAAGCCCTGAACAGGCAGACACCGTTGGCGGTCACGGTCCTCCTTATTGTGTCTGTGCATGAGGACGAGGACGATTTGCGGAGTCGTTGCTTAGACACACACTTCTGCTTTCGACTGACTGACCCAAGCAACCCATCAGGACTGGTTGGGAGTTCAGAATCCTATTATGGCATTTCCCCTTCCCCACTACCATAGCCACTAACTCTAACTCTTTACTCTAAACTCAAACTCTAGCCCTAACACTAGCCTTAACCTTAGCCCTAACTAGAACCATAAACCAAAGCCTAAACCACAACCCACAAACCTGATTTTAACCCAAACCATGAATCCAAACAGTATGACCCAAACTATGGTCGAAACACTGGTCGTAGCCCTTATGTTATGCCTAAGCATAACATAAATCCCAACAATTAATCCTAATCATAATACAAACGTTGCGAGAGAACAGCCTTAAATAGTTTTAGACCAGTGAGTCTCGCAAGCATCCGTTGCAAAGTGATGGAAAAGTTAATAAAAACGGAGCTGTTGTGACATTTTGAAGAATACCACTTGCTCAGTCTGCATCAGCATGGATTTCGAACGGATAGATCCCGTCCCACTAACCTACTAGTATCCATAGAAAGCTAAACGAAATCAATCGAGAGGGGTTTATCAGTCTACGCCGTGTACATCGACTTCAGAAAGGCTTTTTACAGTGCTCCACACAGACGACTTAAATGTAAACTACGTCAAATGGGAGTGACTGGGAATCTGCTGAAGTGGTGAGTCAATTTTATTACGGGCAGATCTCTGCGTGTGTGAACAGATAAAGTTAAACCGGGATGGGCATATGTCTACAGTAGCGTTCCGCAGGGGGACGTTCTAGATTCAATTATGTTCTTAATATATGTGAACGACTGCCTGGACTGTCGGAACTGCGAGCGCCTAATGTTTGCCAATGATCTCAAATTGTGGAAATCAATAGAGAAACCGGAAGACTCTGAACAGTTACAAGACAATCTGAATCGCTTGTAACAATGGTGCGATGAGTGGTGTCTTAGCCTCAATCGTAACAAATACCAACTTATTCGATTACGATCGAGCAACAGGAGGCCGCTGAGATTTGAATCCGACTACGTTATAGGAGGTCACCAAGTCGAGTCCGTCAACGAGTTAAGAAAAATCGGAGTGTGGATGACGTCAACTCTCAAACCATCGTCTCACGTCGCCAAGGTATCAAAGAAAGTTATAGGTATCCTAGGTATGATTAGAAGATCCACCCTCAATTCTGGCGAAGGACTTTTCCGCCGGGTATTTGGAACACTTGTTCGACCAATGTTGGAATATTGCGTTCAAGAATGGTGTCCATGGACAAAACAGGATTACACCCTATTGGAGAACGTACAACGAAGAGCAACCAAGCTGGTCAGTGGATTAATTTCCTAACCTTACAAGAGACGTCTGGGATAGCTAAAAATACTTCCTCTGTCTTACATACAATACATCGAGGATATGATCATGGGCTTCAGGATCGCCAGAGGGCTAGACTGTGCCCTTCAGTTTGACGCCTTCTTTGAACTAGCGCGGATGACAAGTCTTCGAATGCGCCAATACAAGTTGAAGATAAAATATGCCAAACTTGAATTTCGGGCCAAATTCTTCTCCCAGCGACTGGTTAAAAGATGGAACAAATTGCCGAACTATGTTGTTTTAGCGGAGAACATGGACACCTTCAAATAAGACTAGAAAAATGCATGCTTGATGTTCAAACATTTACACGATACCAATGACTGCACCGAAGAACTCCTACAAAGATATTCTTTTGAGGTGCCTCCAGAGGCTTTATTTAAACTCCTTGATCTCTGTCTGGAGACAAATTTTTCCTTCTCCAATCAATGCTACCGGCACTTGAAAGTTGGTCCCATGGGTTCACCCATATCCGGTTTCCTGGCAGAGGCATTACTGCAGAAATTAGAGAGCATAGCTCTTCCCACAGTCAATCCAAAACTTTGGCTGAGATACGTAGATAACAGTTTTGTCATCGTCAAGAAAGATCAGTTGAATCTGCTCCATACCAATATTAACTCGATATTTCCAGGAATTACATTCTCTTTCGAAACAGAGTTCGATGGACAACTCCCGTTCCTGGATGTCCTTGCACGTCGAAATACCGATGGATCACTTCGGACATCAATTTATCGCAAAGAGGCGTATTCAGAGGTCATCCTACACTTTGACAGTAAGCACCCTGTCTCTCACAAACGGAGTACAGTCTGGAGCCTTCTGAACCAAGCCAAAACTCACTGCTCCGATGAAACAAATTATCGAGCAGAAATGAAATACTTCCACGAACTGTTCCCCCAAAATGGGTACCCGCATGACTTTATACGTCAATGCATGAGGCACCAGCAACTCAAGGGAAAAGGTATTTCCAATGCTCCTGCCGCTCAGGCACCAAAACCAACCATACGTGAAAAATGTATCTGAACTAGTCGAAAGACAATTGAAATAGTACCAGATAATGTAGCACACCAGCCGGCAACTACCTTACGCACACAGTTTGTACACCCTAAGGACAGGGTTCGCTACCTCGGAAAAAAAGGTGTTGTCTAAAAAATCCCATGTTCTGTTTGTGATGCCGTCTATTGTGGCAAAACTGGGAAGTCTGTCTCAACCCGTTTACATGAGCATCAGTTAGCGGTGAAGAGACGCGACCATCTATCCCATGTGGTCATGCACACATTGGGCACAAAGTTGCACGGGAAAACACTCGTATTGTTGGCGCCTGCCCAACAAGGAAAGGCCGCGAATTCCTGGAGGCAATGCATTCAGATGAGGCATGCTTTAACCGGCATATCGACTCAGATGCCACATACACAATCGTTAAGGACAGATTTAAACTGACTCAACCAATCCCGAGATGATGACCTTAACCAGTCATAGAATTCTTTTGCCAGACTAAGTCTAGAAGTTAATTGTTTTTGCACGCCCGTTGTCTGAAGACGAGCTGAGAAACCAGTCTCGAAAACTTACACAATAAAGTTTGCTGTTTCCCAAAGAACTTCACCTTTCTCAAAATATCTATCTATAAATAGTGCACTCCAAGACTCTGCCTATATCCCTCATATGTGCTGAATTATACTGAACTCAAAAACAAAACGTAAGCCTAAACTTTAACCCCAATTCCTGGCTCTAAACCCAAATAGTAAAACCCTGTCCAACCTATAAACCGCTAACCTTAGCTTAACCCAAACTCAAATCCTAGCCCCGAGCTCTAAGGTTAAGTCAAACTTCAAACCCTGAACTTATCGTTCACTGTAGCCTTAGGCATAATCCCAAGCAATAGACCCAAACCCCTTATTGAGACACTGATCCCAACCCTAGAGTTAAACCTTAAAATAGCCATTACACTAAACGATAACAAAAACTCTTAACCTTGAACCATTTCTAAAAACTCTGGCCCGAAGACCTAAACCATATCCCTTATTCTCAACACGAAAGCCTAAACAATAACTCCTAAATGCTAACTCTAACCTTAAACCTTAATCCGAAACGCTAACCTTGAACCCTGACCCTTTATCCTAAACTCTAACCCCTACTTCCGGATCCCAGCCCTAAACCCTGATCTAAACCCGAAACACTAATCTTGACCCCTAGGCCTTATCGCGATATGTTAGGCCTAAACCCTAGTCCTAAACCCTTAGACCTAGGCCTTAATCCCATCACCAAACCTAATACCTGCCCGAGAAATCCACGACAGACGTAAGGATTGAAGGCCTACTACTGTAGAAGCCCAACTCCCCCATTCCCTTTCTCCAACCACCATCAGCCTACAAAACAATCCCAACGTCACGCCCATAGCGTACTGTAGGGCCACAGATATTGCGACATCACCAATGACCAGGCCTGGACGATCGAGGATGAGCGTGATGCACATCGTCTTCATTGGTGGGACCGGAGTGAGATTCCCCGACGGTTGTTTACATCGACCAGGGCTGCAGCAGTCGAAAAAGATTTTTCGCGACCCTCAGCGCTTGGACCAGACTTGGACCTGACATGCGTGTCTCAGATGGCCATGCTGCGAAACAACCATCTTTGCAGAAGATATGTGTCATCCGCAGTACGGCTGATTAATATATTCTGTAGACCAAGTAAACTGCTCGGAAAAGTAGTCAAATTGATGAGTTCTATCATTAGGTGTTGGTGAATGAGCCCCCATTCGTCCTAGTATCCTAGCCAGCTCAGCCGATGGAAAGTGCAACTTTCTCAATCGGATAGCCTTGCTTGACTGAGAAAACCAAGGGGGGTGGTTGTGTGCTGGTATCTGACATTTTTAAACCGTCCATAAACAACCGGAATATAGAAAAATCTTCATTACCCACACTGCGTGGCATTAAATTCTTCGTGAATTTTGATGACAACCTCCTCTCAAAGATCTTTGTAATATTTTTGAGTCCACACTTAGAGTACGTCCCATAAGACTAGAGACGATGCGCAATGCATGCTCATAATTTTGCAAAAATGTCTCAAATATCCACTACAGACGTTAAGGTTAATAGTGATTTTCCATAAGCAAACCGTTTACGAATCCCAAGTCTATTTAATTTGAATAAAGGGAAAATGCGCAAAGATCTACCACGGTAATTTCAAATTGTGAGAAATAGGATTTTGGCTTGGTATCTGAAGAATCCCATGAATTTGTTAGTATAGCCAAGCTCCGAGTTCACCCCTTAAAAGTCGGCGTCTAATTGGCAAGACCTGATGTTGAGAAATGCTTTGCACGTATCAGGTTGGTTAAGTCATGGGACGTCCATATATATGTTTTGGTGCCATTGTCGATGAAGTGCTCCGAGCAGAGCTTTTGTAGACATGTGACAGAAATGGGCCTGTAATATGCGATGCCCAGCACGGATTTTGTAGGGGCAGATCATGCGTGACAAATCTACTTTATTGTTTAGATCGCTGGACGCGGACAGTCGATGGCGGCAATGCAGTGCACGCAGTCTACGTCGACTTTAAGAAAGCATTCGACAGTGTACCACATCAGCGTCTCCTGTACAAATTAAGCCGGAAAGGCATAAGGGGTAATCTCCTGAGATGAATACAAAGTTTCTTGATCGGTCGCACTCAAATCGTCCACGTCGGTGACAGGCAGTCGGCGGGGATAGCGGCTGAAAGCGGTGTTCCACAAGGCTCCGTTCTTGGACCTACCCTATTCATTATATACGTAAACGACTGCGTCAGTGAACTGAATTGGGATGTCGCCATGTTCGCTGATGATGTTAAACTTTGGAGCGTTATCCTAATTGAATTTGTCGAAGAGCGCTTGCAAGCAGACCTATCGCGACTCGAGAAATGGTCACAGGACTGGCTTTTGCAGTTGAATGTGACTAAGTGCAATGTTTTGCGAGTCGGCTGAACTCGATCTCTAAGCTGGAGGGTTAACTACCTAAATGGCCTACCACTGTAGGAGGTAGACGCCCAGAAAACCTTGGGTTTGTGGGTAACGACTTCTCTAAAACCGTCACTCCACTGCTCCAAGGTAGCCAAATCTGCAATCTCAGTCCTTTATCTTGTCAAGAGAGCTTTATAATAATAATAATTTATTTGATGCCAGTTTACAGGCATTGTCAAGGAAAGCGATTAAACACAAATTCGACCAACAGTGAAAAAAATTCCTGAGGTAAAGAAATAAAAATATAGTTGATGATGGTTTTCATGGATTGGAGGGTTCAGGAGAAAAAACTGCTTTCTCTACCTTCGATGAGGACTGCTTCGTTAAAGTCTTTCGGACTTCGTACGGCCACAGCTAGAGTTCTCTATTCAGGCGAGGAAACCCTGGACCTCTAAAGATCTCAGCATCCTTGAGAAAGTCCAAAAGCGGACAACCAAACTCGTAAGTGGACAGGATTCACTACCCCATGAAACACGATTGTCCAATCTCGGCCTTTTTCCACTGAGTTACAGACAGTTAAGAGGCGACCTTATACAAACATTCCGTATACTGCGCGGCCAGGACTGCTGTCTCGTACCTGCTGAGTTCTTTGAGTTAGCGACCAAAACGACCCTCCGAGGTCATCCACTTAAACTACGCGTAACTGGCGCCAAGCTGGACATTGGGAAGTTCTTCTTTCAAACAGAGTGATCGAGGCCTGGAATACTCTGCCTACAGATGTCGTCATGTCCACCTCCGTCGAGGCCTTTGAGCGCAAGTTGGACCAGTGTACCACCAAACGTCATAATGCCACCTGACCAACAACGTCTAGCATTTCGTGCTAACAGTTTATTAATGTTATTATATTACTGCCTGTATTTCAGTAACGTTTTTAGCATTGTCCCATGTCTGCTGAATGTGTGTTGGCATCTAATTCGTCTCCCTCAGAAACTGAGATAGCACCAACTATCCATAGGCAGACTACTGTACAGCGCACTTAGTAACGTCAAAGTTCTTGACTCTTGGAACAATTCTTTTATCCGTCTGGCTTCGAAAACTTTGCCAATCTGAAGAAAATCTGTAGCT